TTCCAACAGTACCAATTTTTAAGAACTTATGGCTAAAAATGATTTTATTCCTCATCAAATATCATTGATTGATTGATCAAATATAACATCAACTCGTGTACTACCATCAGCGCCGCTTCTCGGCGATTACCGTAAGACGCTATTAATCGTGCACTCAAAAATGAAGCGCTGCTCATTTGACCAAGCAAATGCGAGAGACGGCTGAGTTGACCGCAGTCTCAGAGGTGACCACGATTCACTCCACAGCATGTCCGACTCAGGCAGTGGGCTCTTCCTGTCGCTGTTTGAGTATACGCTGCACAAAGATGCAGAGTTGGCCACAATAATGGAAAGCATTCCCCACACAGCAACGTACACCTCTCACGACATATGCACAATGCCATCATAGAACTAACAGCAGTTCATCGTCTCTACTATTTATCTCCGAGTGCAGCGATGAGGAAGCTGCCGTCCTTAACCAGTGTACTTGCTCGTGATTTACCAGTGTTTGTGCTGCCACGCACACCATGTTTCAAAAGTAGTTTATTTGTGTATGTATTTGCGATAAGTGTGCGTCTTTGCGCAATGCTGTTGGCCTTACGACGCTGAAGTTGGCTTCCGATTCAGAGCATCCGATTCGGCAGTTAAGGGGAAAGTTAAGGGACATTTAATTTACAGCGCTGAGAGAACAATCCTCCGTGTTTGAACCTCTTAAATCGCTGCATAGCCGATTTATTTGGACTGGATTATCCCAAAGAGTGCTGAGTGAGTGAGTTAGAGTTGAGTTACTTGAAAAACTAAAGTGAAACTTGATTTATTCTATTGCAGGGTCTGATTATTATATTGTTGACACTTTAAAATACTACTATCCTACTAAAATGCTGCACAAATCAGATTGATTATTTAATAAAGAAAAGAAAAAATTAAAAAAAATTCTTTATTTTTCAATATCGCGATAAATATCGTACCGTGGACTTTTTATCGCGATGTTATCGTACCGTGAGTTTTTTTATCGTTACAATCCCTAGTAAATACCTCTTTTTGTTAATTCTTCCAAACAAACTTTTATCAAAAATAATTAGTTGTCAAGGTCTTTGAGCCTTTTCTGTAACTTGTACTTTGTAGAGCTAAACTAATTTAATTTACCAATCAGATAACTTTACACTAAGTAACCCCCCTAACATTGACCTTTACACATTGACCTTTGAGACATGAAAGGCTCGATGAAGGACATAACCCAGCTGGAGGCAGCAGTCACAGTCCCGCTCTCAGAGGGGGTCTGATCAGTTTGTAGACCTTTACATGTGGTGGACTGTTGTACATTTATTTTGCAAGGTAAAGAAGAACGATCGACACAATATATGTTTTTCACTTAACTTTATTTTTGAGTCAGGGTGGGAAACAGCCAAAACACTCTGCACTGACATCCAAGATCATAACACTAACTTGTGTATACTTGTATGGGACATCAGCAGTCTGTTATCAGTGTACAGCACTGACACTGCCACAGCTTCAGACCCCCACATGAAGGACTGGACCATGCTGAGGTATCACACAGACAGCCATTTTATAATAAATATGCAATCTAAACAATGACATGGTAAAACAAGAGACATTCAAAGTATACTCAACACATGAGGGGCTGGCATGGTGATGTTGGTGTGAAATAAAAGATGCTCTGCAAACTAGATTCCAACCCTGAGCTCATCCACAGCCGAGTCTGTCTTCTTACAGTATGTACAGAATGGATGTATGAGTGTGTTATGAAGTGCTAACTTCTGTGTGTGAGTGTGTGGGGGGGCTCTATCGGTAAAGGTAATCAGCTTGTATGTTGGCAGCTATCTCGGCCTCCCACTTGTCTCCGTTGTTGAGGAGCTTCTCCTTGTTGTACAGCAGTTCTTCGTGAGTTTCAGTGGAAAACTCAAAATTAGGACCCTGGAGAAATAGGAGGGGGGGGGGAAAGTCAGAGGTCGGAGCAGGAATAAAAGGAAGAGAGGGGGGTCAGAGGCAAGGATGAGGACCATAACATGCAAAATCACAGTAAACCATCATTTAAACAGTCCTACAATAGTGCTTGGTCACGGCCTGGCAAAATGACGGCCCTGCCCACTTGGTGGTGAAAACAAAGAGCTGGTGCCAAGCGGAAAACCTTTTTTATACTGCCTACTAAAAGCTGCTGTTTCGTGTATTGCATGTCAAACAACAAAACAGATCCAAAGTTATGAATTCCTTTACTTCGATAGAAAATGGTAAAAGAAAATATCTGTGTCTTCAGGCTCCACAGAGAGGACGGAGATCAATGTATGAAACACATCATCACAGCTAATGATGCTAATGAGGCTAACATCAATCATCAAAGTACACAGTTGTAATGTTAAAAGTCAATGTA